CCCGCTCGAGCGGAAGTGCAAAATCTGGAAATTCCAGACTGCACCTCCAAGCCAAAAACCAAATTCAAAAGCATCAAAACCGATCCTCTTGGGCTAATTTCTTAAAAAACACTTGTAAACACATGGAATAACATGATTCAAAACTCAATTTGAGAAATCAAAGCCTAATGGTGTTTAATTCAAACCCAATTTCAAACCAATTTCATGAACATGGAGAACATGCAAACATGCATGAATTCAAATCAATTCAAGGCTTCAATTTGATGCTCTAAGGAGCCAATTGTTTCCAAAACATGATGAAATCATGGACTTAAACATAATTGTGAACATGCATGTAACATTTTGCCATGAACTCAACTCAAAATCCAACAATACTAACATGCATGCAAGGATTGAGCTTCAATTCAACAACAATGAACCAAAACATGACTTAGTTCTACAATGAAGCATGAATCATGCAAGGACTAGCTCAATGACAACAATAAGAAGATGAGTTTCCTACCTTAGTCTTGTATTCAAGATTTAGGAGCTCAAATTAACAATCTACACTTCAATTACCAAGCAATTCCACCAAGTTTCCAAGCAATTCAAGATGAGAAACCAATTTCTCTCCCTCTCTTCTCTCTAGGTCGGCAGGGCTCAAGAAAAAGGGTTGAGGGAATTGTGTTATGATCAAGTGTAAGGCTCAATATGTGTGAGATAGTGGACCACTAGGGTTAGTTTGGTAAATAAGGCCAACTTAAGCAATTGATCAATAATTAATCTAACTTAATCATACCTAATCAAATTTCAGATAAATCTACAATAAAATCACATCAATTATGAGGATCATAAAACATCAATCAATTCCCGGTTCGGCCGCCGATAAGGCCTTCACTTAGCAGTTTAAACATAAAACGTGAACAGATCAAATAAACAATCAAACAGATAGAATACAAATTAACATACATACTCAGTCAATTCAGTTCCAGTTTTCAGTCAGTCAGTTCGGTACTTTAATCAGTTCAATTATCAGTCATAATCAGTTCAGTTATCAGTCATAATCAGTTCAGTTTAACGGTAATCAATGTTTATCGGTAAGCAGTGGTGAGGGTTATTACATCAACATTAATACTAAATCTCCATATCTCATTAACGAGTTATATATGAGATTTACAAAAGAGGATCACATGCAATTATACATTCATATTCCTTAAGAATTGAATATATAACATGTGATTGCACAAGTTAAATCTAAATAAATACAAGTTTATGCCCTATTGGCTATAACTCCTTAAGAATTGAAGGACATTCCATATGCGTCAATGGTATAGGGAGTTTGATGTATACCCAGACCTATACCAAACCAAATATTAGTTTTGTAGTTGGGATGTTAGTATAACGCCCCAAATTTCTAGCCCAAATGATAATACAACAATCATGTCTCTTTCAAAGAAAACCGAATATAAATCTCCAAACTTACATTACATGATACAATAGTTCTTCATACAACAATATATTAATCCAACAACAAGTAAATAAACAAATAAATACCTCCAAGGGTTTAAAAGTTTCCAAGGCTTGAGCTTGGTTACACAAAACGGTTATTCAAACCTACACACATACAACCCTTAGCTTACACACAGAGTCATAGCAAAATGAGAGTCTCGTACTCTCAACATACATTTCCTCGCCTTTAGTTAGGCGGCATCACTACATCTTTTCCTGTACAAAAATCCCATAGGGTGAGCATAAAGCCCAATAGGAAATCTTTAACAAAATATATACATTTTATATAAGTCTCAAGGGATGAAATGCACATGCCATGCTATTCTCTTTTGAAAGAAAATCACATCATCATCTTTGAAAACCCTCATGCTCAATGATGTCATGCAATTTCAATTCTTCAAAACTTAACAATTCATTTCAAGAGCGGTAAATACGACTTTGGTAATCCCTAGGTCGGTGTCTGGAAGTAGACTATACAGGTACTACCAAATTGTCATTTTTATCGGTATTAACAAGAAAGCTCGACACATATCCGCGCAGGTTTTCGGTCTTTTACCCCGGACTCTCAGGCCAACTTATTTAATATCATATACACCACCTATCAAGACTTATCAACGTATTTACGCCAAAACCATTTCATGAAAATTTGTTTCTCAACATTCTTTTCTCAATGCAAGTTTTCAAATCAATTTTCAAAGTTTAATGTAATCAAATGAATTGTTATGCCAATAACACAAGATGAATATAAATACTTTTATTCCAATTCATCATCCAAGGAATAACACAATTTCCTCTTCTCAAGTATCCTCAACAATTAGTCATTTCAAGACTATTTCAATGTTTTGAATAATAATTTACAAAATGAACAACAATTATCATATTCCCTGAAATTCATCATTTATATAAATATAAATAAGAAATTTTCCAAACATCCATTTATTTTGACACACAAAATAAATATAACAATATCATTCATGGATTTTCAGTCTCTTTTAAAAAAATCTTCAAATTCTAGGTTTTCTCACCAAAACTATACAACTCAAATCTTTGGAAAAAAACTTTCCAAAATCATATTTTCTTCAATCAACGAAGATCAAAACCCATAAGATCATTTTAAAAGAACAAGAGACAAACCCACTTTCAAAATCGCTTAACTTCTTGAATCAACAATTAATTTTCAAAGCTATCGAAAGATGATTTCGAAAATCATCTAGATTTTGCAAATATATATATATATATATATATATAACTCTAAGAAAATCCTTATCTCAAGTTTTGAAGAAGAAATGAGATGAAACCCTCAAAATCAACGGTGTCGAAACTCGATCTTCACCGTACACAACGAGGCCCTTGAGAAGTTAACCAACTTTGATGAAGAAACTATGGCAGAACTCTAATAGATCTTGAAAAATCAAGGTTTTGATCCAATTTGGCGTAGGGAAATGTAGAGAGAAGGAAGAGGAAAGGGTTTTTAGAGAGAGAGATACATACAAAAATGATCTGAAATATCAGATTCACGAACTGATATAACATGGTTCGCTCGAGCGTGGAAAGCTTTGCTCGAGCATCAAATACACTTTCTCAGTACTTTTGCAGGCAAGTCAAACTTCTGAAACTAAACATTCTCCGCTCGAGCATATAAACGGCCGCTCAAGCGGACAAGTAACTTTTAATGCATTTTGCATTTTTGCTTCAGGGGCGCTGCCCCTCAACCCCGCCAGGGCGCTGCCCTAGGACCCGCCAAGGGGCGCTGCCCCCTGGACCCTCGTGAGCTGGCCGGGCAGCTCGATCCCCGCTAGGGCGCTGCCCTTGGACTCGCCAAGGGGCGCTGCCCTTAGACCCCCGCAAGCTGACCGGGCAGCTCGATCCTCGATATACTCAGCGAAGTGGCAAAACTGGGATCGCTACAGTTAGGAAGATTCCAAACCAATTCTGGAATGGAAAATTGGAAAGCAGTGAGGTATCTTCATGGAACAAAGGACCATATGCTCACTTATAAGGGATCAGAACAATTGGAAGTGGCTAGATATTTAGACTTGGATTTTGCTGGTTGCCTTGATAGTAGAAAATCTACATCAAGTTATGTTAGTGAAGGTTATCAATGGTATAGTGCATAGCATTGGTGTCATATAACTGCTTTGACTCGCATTTATGATTTGACGTAATCACAATATTATAGTTTCTAATAAGTTTGAACTTATTGACTGTTTTGAAAAAATCGCAATCACATGTCAAAGTTTTTAGTGTGAAATCTAACTGAGTCAAAAAAATTTATTTTTGAAAACCATGGTTGCATCATAATTGGCTTAAATGAGCCAAGTAGGAGACTGTTAGTTTTATATTTTGATGTGGTCTATTAGGCCCCGTTTGTTTTGGGAGATAGAATGGAGGAGATTGAGGCCTCGTTTGTTTGGGGTTGTGGGGAGGGGATTGGGTTTGATCGTGAGGAAGGGATTGAAAATGGAGTGTTTGTTTTGAGAGATAGGGAGAGATTAGTAATTCCTTGGTATTAGTAAGGAGGAGGAATGAGGATTGGTAAGGAGGAGGTAGAGATGGTATTAGAAAAATAGTGAGGGGATTAGAAATTTTTATATATTTTTTATTTTTTATATATTGGGAATTTTTTTTTTAAATATAATGTTTATTTTTTTATATTTTTTTATTTGTTTTATTATTTTATATAAAAATAATTTAACAATTCCTCACTATTAATCCCCTCACTATAGTCTTCATATCTTTTACATGTTATCTTATATTTGGACTCCACATTTAGTAAAGCCAATATTAAGATAAAGTTTAGAAATTAAAATTTTAAATATGGGATACTTACTCTTACAAGATAAGAAGAAAATATTGATGAATGGAGATTCTTTTAATAGATTGTCTGGCCATCTCTTCTCGTTTATAAAAGGATGGGTGACTCCACTTTTAATATGCATATTATTTTTTTCATCATTTAAAGTATTCTAATCATTCTAGTTAAGAGAGACATAGAGAAGAAGGTGAGCGGATAAAAAAAGATTTAACTAAAGGGATATTTTCTTAACTTTTCTAATTCAATGGCCAACAAAGACTACTTATTTTCTTTTTGCAAGAAATAATTTTGATATTTATGCAGAAGTGATACAATAATATGGATAAAATTTGAAGTGTTTTCCTTGAAAGATAGAGTGCTAATAGCACCATCCAAAAGAAAACAAAATTAGAAAACATTCCAAAGAAAATAATGAAGGTTGTTACTTGATTCTCGAAAAGACATTAGTGGGCTAAGATCAAATGGGTGGTTATGTTGCTAATTCATCAGGATTGAAAAATGCAATGACAGAGAAATATAATTATTTTCAACTTCTTCATTTATATTTTCTTACCATCACTTTTCCTGAATTCTCCCACCATTGATTGGCCAAGAGAGAGATTGAATAAGAACATTGTAACAACCCAACAATATGTGAAACCAAACACCCTTAGTTAAACTCAACTTAGAATATTTAAAACCCAACTCCAAACTTGTTTGTAGGTGTTACCAAGCACGACCCTTCAGCTCAAAACAAAGATAAGAAATGCAGATTTTTTATTTTTTTTCATTTTCCATTTTCTTTTCCTTCTTCTCTCTACCTTTCTCTCATTTTTCCTTTACTTTCTCGGTGGCCAAACACTCCGCCATTGCTCCACCCTTACACCACCACCTCAACCCACCATCACCACCACCGCCGGCCATCTTACCTCGCCGGAAAAAGCTCCGATCGGCCACTTATTTCTCTTTACAAAAATAGCACAAAACAGTTTCAACTCTATATTTTTCTTAATCTCTTCAAGAATCAAAGCTTGGGGTTCCTTTTCTTCAAGGATTAGAGGCTTTTAATTGGTAGGAATATCTCTCTAAAAAGTTTTAGTTTAATGTTTTACATTTTTAGAGTTAGAGATTGTGATTTCTAGATTTATTGTGATTTAGTTTTAGGTATTGAGTTTTATGCTTGGATTTAGTTTCTATGGATATTTTTGCATGTAGAAAAGTTATTAATTTGATGATTGATTTGGAGATTGAGATTTGGGTTAATATATAGTTTGAATGTGATGTAAAAATTGGGGATTTGGTGCTATGAAATTTATATGTTGAAATTGATTTGATAAATGGTGGATTGGGTTTTCTCTATGAACTATAAATGATTTTAGAGAAATTTTATATATTATTGAAGTGGTTTTACCTAAGTTGTTGGTTATGAAAATGTTGATTTTTGACTTTTGTGGGTTAATTGGTGGTGGTATTGTGCATATAAATTGATTGGATAGTAAAATAATTGATAACTCAAAATGTTTTAAGGTTGGTTCTTGTGAAAATTGGATAAGTTATTTCTTGGGTGACTTAAGGAGTTTGGAGGAGTTCTTTAGCTTGTCTTTACCTCTCATCCCATTACATGTCTTGTTTAGGTTCAACTTTGTAGATATTGCATTTTCTTGAAAGCATTTCCCTGATTTTAGTCTCTTTTACAAATTGTTAGGATTAGAGGAAGGCGTCCTTACTTGTGAGAGTTAGCTCGTGGAGTTGTGATTTACACTTTCTGCTATTTTGGAGGTGAGTATACTTTTACCATAGAAATTCACATTACCTCTAATTGAAAAACAAGATTTGAGAATATTTTCAATTAAAGGAAATGAATGAACTAAATTATGTGTTTTATCATGTTATTAGTACGCATTGAAAACCTATAAATTTATTTGGGGTCAAAATTTAAAGTTTAAATAAATTATTTTTATGTGTATAAAGAGGCAACTACTTTTTCGAGCGTATGTATTCAAGTTGAGTCTTTCAAATTTTATAATGATGATATTGGAATGACGACGTCACGTTATGTGAAATTATTTATTTTCATTGATCATACGACCAAATATAACTTATGAAACCACAAGAGCCGAAATACTTTGGGGTCTTGGGGACCAAAATATTTTAAGGACCATAAGAGTCATTGTACATAAGGTATCTTGGAAACCGAAATATTGAAATGATAATTGAAGTGCTATGATGACATGACTTGTGTTCCTATGGACATATTTTGAGTAATGGTACCGCCACCATCACCATCACCGTTACCGTCACCGTCATGAGGTAATGCGACCCTAAGGTTATTTAGTATATTGTATGATGGACACGAGATTTTAATGTATTGAAAAGTTGTATTTTTGTTTTGAATCTCCTTGTTCCAAATGTATTTTACCGCATTATGATATTCTTTGAAAAATCTTGATAATGGCTTATGTAGGTTTTCACTATGTATGTATTAATTTCATTCCAATCAAACTCTTATGTTTATTATCCTTATTTTTGGACCCCAATTGGAAGGAATAAGTTTTATCACTCCATGGGATTGGTGTCCTCATTGGGCTCTAAAAGTCATTCTTTCTAAATTATTGTTATTATTATTTTTTTTTTTCAGATTCCTGGACTATAGCATGGTTCGTCTCAACGTGGAAGCTTAGATTTCTAGAGGATCAAAGGTGGGCGTTTTGTAGTTGGAGTTCTGCATAAGGTCACTCTAGGATGTAGTTTTATCTTTTGTATTTATGAAGATAGTTGATTGTAAATATTTTTTATTATGAATTTTGTTGTAAAGATGAATTTACGTTAGTGTTTTTGAGAAATGGTGCTTGGGAACTTAGTGTGGCATGATGATATTTTTGAACTTGAATGGATCAATTAGTATAAAATGGCTGATTGAAAGATTTTGTACACTATTGTGATGTAAATACATAGATTGTACATGAGGTGTTATAGTGCTTAAGGTTTTCCCTCTCGACGGGATTTGCTTTGCTAGGATTGGGGTGTGACAAACCCAAAGCATACAAATAAAGAAATAAATAAACAAATTACCAGAATACTTTATTTTGTTTACATCCAAACATTTTGTATTACATCTATTTTGATGCAGTACAAAAGCAATCCAAGTCAAATATATATATACATATATAATAACACAACATTGAGAAAACAAGAAAAAGATTGAAAAAAGACAAAAATAAAAGTTGCCTAATCACTACATATTTCATTTTCTCACCCCTGAGTAATTACACAATCTAATTACCAGTTCGGTACATAGTTTAGAAAATAACCATTTTTGGGAGCCAAAGCTTGTTATCTTCTTTGAAAGTTGAGGAACTTGATGCCATAGGCAAAGACGAAGAAGAAGCCGACAACCCAACCCAAATGGACCACTGCAACTACTGGTAGGAAGCTATACTTAAAACCAAAGTAATCTTCAAGAAATTTCTTTAGAAGGATATTACCCTCTCCTGGTATCTCAAGGGAAGCATTTTTGTCACCCACTTGAGAAGTCACAAGTCCGTAGAGTGTCCAAGAGACTGGAGAAGCCCAGTAGTACCACCTCCACCAGACTGGGATTTGCTGCAATAAATGAAATATGTCAATTTATTAAGCAAAAGAACAATTTCACGGTTAGAAACTATAGTAATACTATAAACACATAAATATTTCATAGAAAAAGTGCACATAATGCAGTGTTGATCCTGTGTAAAAATTGTGTTGTATTATTTTCCTCGGAATTAGAGTCTGAAGCAGGAAAAAAATTGACGTACTGGCCTAGGAATAAGGAAACCGGAGAATAAGTTCCAGAAGCTCAAGAAGAAGGACATCACAATGGCAGCAATTTGGGAGCTTGGTGTCAATGCAACAACCATCATGCCGTACAATGTGAAGTAGACGAAACACATCATCATGAAGTAGTAGAACCATAACACTTTGCCAACCTTCCACTCAAACCCGATCATGGAGTACAAGAGAAGGCTATATATCATTGTTTGAATTATAACATACAACATCTCTATAGCCACCTGCAGAATTTAAAAAAATTAGAAAATTTAGGACATTGCTTTGGTTGAAATAGTAAGCTTATTATCACTATATTAAGAAAATATTTGCATTTTCTCTTTCGAAAATACTAGGAAAGGTTTTCTTGTTGTCGTTACCTGAGCAAATGCATAAGGCAATTCTGAATACATCCTGGCTGCTCTTTCACGATAAAACACTGTTCTCTCAATAGCAACAATAGATTGCACTGCATGAGCATTAGTGGCTCCTAGGAAGACAATAGCAGCATACATAGCTCCCGAAAGATTCAATAGATCTTGTTGTTTCATTCTGTCAACAAATTTTTTTTGTCAATACCAGTTACAAAAACACCCAATTTTCATCAAACAACAAAAGAAAAATACATTAAATAATGTACGCTATGAAGTGTTGGATATTTCAAAATTTATTTTGATAAAATACCAAAACTCGAATGAATGGTATGCCGCTCTATTAGTCTCCCAATTGCAGCTTGTAATCTAGAATGCCAGTATTCACATACATCAATTTTTTTGTGGGGTCTTACAAAACACACCTCCTTTCGGGTCCCATAAATTTGGAGCATTGGCTACATTTTTGTGAAACAGAGAAAATTCAAACAAAAAAATGAAGAAATTAAAGACTTACGTTTGTTGTCCTTTGTTCCAGAAAGTAAAACCGAATATACACCCAATCACAATTGTCATGAAGAATCTAATGGCATTATACTGGGGGTTCCTCCAGTAAGACCAGTGTTGTTTCCAGAAACAAGCAGTGCATTGAGTAGTGAATGGTTGGGAGTACTTGGTTGGGAAGTATAGGTCCTTGGAACCTGGAGGTGGAGTACTAAGTTCTTTAATAAGCTCTTGATTTCTCCTGAAAGAGTTATATATATATATAGCTATTAAGAACAATTTTGTAACGAAGTATGCAGTATATGGATGGTACAATTAAAAAAAAAAAACTAATTTGCTTACTGATGAAGAGAGGAGTTGGCATAAATATTAGCAAAATCCACATCCATTTGAGCCTCAGCCGAAGGAGCACTAATCTCCAACATCCATGTTGCAGGATTGTAACCATCCTTAATCTGGGGGACACCTGGGACAGCCTGTGCCAGGTTACAAATATATTAATCCACACTAAAATGTCCAGAGTAATACGAAATTAGTAGTGCATCAAGCTTGCTAAAGATTTTTTTTTTATTTTATTTTTTCAGAAAACACCATTGTTTGGTGAATAGTTTTCAAAATTTTCTTTTAAAAACAATCTCACTAGTTAGGTAACACCAAAATGTTGTTTTTTAATTTTTAAAAATTGCTTTCATACAAAAATGAAAAAGAAAGCACAAAAAACAAATATACTCACTTCAAAATATTCTATAAGCTTGTGAGAGTTGCAACCTAGAGGTCCTGCATAAATGATTTGGCCTCCTCTTTTCATCAAAAGTAACTACAACAAGCACAATAATTAGTTGCATTTATGCATAATATAATGAAAAATCACAGAACAAACAAACTTCAAGAACACGATTTAGGAAAATTGAATCACACCTCATCAAAAGATTCAAAAATGTCAATGCTTGGTTGGTGAATTGTGCACACCACAGTTCTACCTGTGTCTACTGTATTTCTCACAGTTCGCATAACAATGGCCGCAGCTCTAGCATCAAGGCCAGATGTTGGTTCATCCATGAAAATGATAGATGGGTTAGCAACCAATTCTACAGCTATTGTCAACCTTTTTCTTTGTTCTGTTGAAAGGCCATTAATTCCTGGAAGGCCAACTAAAGAATTCCTTATCGCATTGAGCTCAACCAAGTCCATCACTTCTTCAACAAACATCTAAGGTAAAAAAAAGAAGGGAAGAAAACAAAAACGTAAAATAATTTTTTTAAAAATTAAATTTTAAACTTCCTGAGATTCTGGGGACGTTTACTAAATGACATACATTGCATGTATTTTTGTTTACATCTGAAGAAAGACGAAGCCAAGCTGAGTATAGAAGAGATTCATAAACAGTGACATATGGTGAGTGAATGTCATTCTGTTCACAGTAACCGCTAACACGAGCAAATGTTGCTTGGTTCTTTGGGTAACCCAAAATGCTAATAGTTCCTTCAATGTATCCGCTGGTTTTCCTTCCAGCTAACACATCCATTAAGGTGGTCTTTCCAGCACCACTAACACCCACAAGTGCTGTCAATATTCCTGGTCTGAAAGCACCACTAACATCTCGTAGGAGTTGAAGGCGATCCTCATTGATTCCTTGACTTTTCATTTCCTAGTAAAAAAATAACAAAATTTCAACTCATTCAACCCCATATTTTTGTGTTAATTTTAAAGCTACTCAGTGTACAAACAAAAGTGCCATATGTTTATTTAAGTATGCAACACATAGGGTTTTTTAATCAAAAGAATAAATAAGTGAGGTCATTCACTAGATATCAAGTCGCTCAGATTAGAAAAGAATGGTGTTTCACTGCCCTAAATACCTTGATTCTCAAATCAAGGAAAAAAAAAAAAAAAAAAAAAGAGGAACAAAAAAGTGTTCACGTAAGCACATGACAATAATATGCTTAGAATGATTGACTTACAGCGGGCATATCTACGTAGTAGTTGATGTGGCTGAATGCAAGTGAAAGGGGTTGGAAGGGCAAAACCATTCCTTTCCTTGTTGAATGACCAGAGGCACCAATAATTGAGTCACTACCCTGTGAAGCATTTCTCACTGCCATATCAATACCTGTAAATCATACACAAGATTTCAAAATTCAGACCAGTAGAACATTTTTGACACAACTGGAATCTATTAGATGTCATTCCATAGCCTAGGACATTTGGTATCCTGACTTCATTTCCATCATTACACACACAATGCAACTCTACTCACCAGGAACTTTAAAATTGATCAAGGAGATCGACTCGTGAGACTCTTTGAACACCTTAAACAAATGGATTTTAACTCCTCCAAGTTTGTACAATTAGTAACTAGTAACCTAAATGTTAACTTAACTAGCACTATAAGGAATGGAAAAAGAGGTAATCAAGTAACGATCAACAAGAGGCAATGGTAAGACTTGAACCTTCAGATGCCATTTGTCCAGAGGATGATTTCTTATTCTTCTTTTCATTATCTTCATCCGAGATTACAACCTTTGAATCACCTAGAGCTGAAATAGAGAATCCACACACACGGTTGTCAATCCAAGAGTTCTACTTTCAACAAAGAAATTCTATTTTTCAAATAAAAAACCCAAAACCAAATTACTAGGTGAGATGACTTACGATTCAAGAAAGTCAACGTTACAATAAACAAAACGTTGAAGAGAAGCGAAAACCCAATAAGTGCTACAATGCAAACCCAAAACATGTAATCATCCTTATAGAAGCTTCTTGTGGTAAGAAGGGCTTTCCCAATTGTAGGAGCATTAATTCGAGGGTCTATGTTGTTCTACATTAAAAAAAAATGTTTCAATTTTTTATGAGGCTACAATGTGAACTGCAATGACAGACTAGAAAGTAAAAGCAACATTTGAACTAAAAATAAAAAGGTAAAGATCATAAGCCAACCATAAAAGAGAACTTACGGCGCTCCATCTTTTATCAAGAAATTCATTCATGACTATTGCATTCTGTCCATACATCATTGGAGAAATATAATAACCCCATATCATAAATGGTTGAATGTCATCTGCAAACATAAGTATAAATAAATTATTGTAATGTTTTGATCATCTAACATAAGCAATCTCATAAAAGAATCCATAACTTTTTGACCAAATGTCAAGCAATATTCAACATGTGATGTAGCCAATTAATAAATTTAAAGCTCAGTCTAATTACAAGAAATGCTCAAAGTGAACGTAGAAATCAGCAAC